AAGTGTGTCTGTAAACGGCAGCAGACGGCTGGATTATTCCAGGGGCAGGACCGTGGGATTAGGTAGAGGGATTATCACAGTTCAGTGATGGAGACAACCACCTTCTTTGCCTCTGTTATTGCATAAAATAATGAAAATGAGAAAGAATGACCACCCATTCGCCTTCAGGCTTTCTCCACGTCTGTCTCTCCCATATATCTGAGGGCTAAGAGCTTCCTAAATGCTGATTCACTGTCTCTGCAGGAATTTAGATGCAACACTAATTCTGTTTTGGTCATGCTCCTGGTGATGAATGAGTCACATTAAACATTTAACACATTTTTAAGATGAAACACTGTTGGCAATGTTGCAGAAAAAAAAAAGAGAGAAAAGGTGGGGGATAGGGTTGAATTCAGTATGAGAAATAGGATTTCTTTATTTGCCTTTCCATTCATTCTAACATTAACTCATGACAGGCCTCGGTCTATTTATTCATAAAACCCTTAAAGGTCACCTATTATGCAAAATCCACTTGTCCATGTCTTTTATACATAAGCATGTGTCCCCTCTGTGTAAAGAGATTCTGAAAGTTTCAGGAAAAAAGATTCTCTCACTTTTTGTCCTGATCCATTTATATAGAAACCTGTCTGAAAATGAGCTGATCAGATTTTGGCCACCTTATGATGTCATAATGATGTTTAGGCTTGTGTAACAATTAGCCAATAACCAACCAAGGTAACCCCCCCCCCTTATCACCTGAATCTCCTCCTAGAGCACCATTGTGTTCTTTTTAACCAAATATCTCTCAGAGGGGCGTGGGGAGTGGCTCCTTATTTTCATCTAAAGTAACAGACAGAGAAGCAGCACTTTTGAAACAGAGGGGATTATGGGATGCTGCAATGATCTGTTTGGTGTTTGGAGCCAAACACTTCAGAGACATGTTTTGTATATATCTGAGACCTATAATATATTGATGTAAAACAGTATCATAGGGGTAGGCCTGTCGCGATAATCCATAAATTGACTTATCGTACGATAAATAAAAATGGACTCGATAACTTTTCTGAGCTCGATAAATTGCCGTTTACATGCGTGTTTGTTTACATAAGGATGTGACCAGCATTTTAGCCAGGAGCGCTGTGGCTGCCAGCCCGGCGCGCTGTGAGGGGCGGGGCTCACACACAGCCAGGTCAGGACACTCCGCGTGCAGCAGTGTAGCAGCCAAATTAATAATATAGAGACAAGCAGGAGACAACATGTGACTTACTCGAGGGGAATTTGAAGTTAAATGGAAGTGGTTGCAAAACCTAATACCACATCTCCGGTGTGGGAATATTTAAGCCAAATCAATGAGGCAAACCTACGGACTTGAATGAGCCGGGCGGTGTGTCGCATTTATAAAAAAAAAGGTAGCAACAAAAGCTAGCAATACGACCAACCTTAAAGGGGACCTATCATGCAAAATGCACTTTTGTACGTCTTTTATACATGAATATGTGTCCCCGGTGTTCCAGGGAACTCACCAAGTGTCAGAAAACACAGCCCTCTCTATTTTCCTCCATACCCAAATCTCTAAAAAAGGGGCTGCAACGGATCTGATAAAAACGGATCCAGATTTGAACATTTCTCTGACGTCAGGACGGTGGAGCTGACCTATCAGGGGAATGAGAGGTTGCCGTGGCATGGTAACAGCATGGTAACAGCATGGTAACACAGCGCTCGTAACTCGGCCCCCTCCTTTGCAGGGGGGCGTGGTCAGCTGCAGCGCATGCAAAGACAGGGTGGAGGAAAGCAAAATAGAGCGAAATGAGGCATGGCTAAAATGCATGATCTGTTTGGTATTTCCTTGCTCGAAATCTTTGAAATACAGATTTGGATATGGCCTGTTGTGGCATCTGGGTCTTTGTATGGACAGTGGACTGTACACTTGACTGTTGTTTTAAGGAGGGTTTTTTGCTTGTGAGACAGTGTGCTCATATTTATTTATGTATTTATATATATATATATATATATATATATATATATATATATATATATATATATATATATATATATATATATATAGAGAGAGCTCTGTTTTCCAGCCTGAGTCTATTTAATTGATTGTTTTGGTTGTGTGATTTTGATAAATTTGTTATAATTAAATGTATTTATTTTATTTATTATATATAATTTATATATTTTAATATTATTTCACATTTCATTTGCAATGTTGAATGTTCAATACAATGTTCTGTTTGAAAGGATGTACTTGAATTATTATTATATATTATCATTATGTCAGTGGTCTAAAATGGTCTTGCAACGGTGCCGACAATATTATCGTTTATCGCAATAATTTCCGGGAAAATGTATCGTCCAACAAAATTAATTATTGTGACAGGCCTACATAGGGGACCTTTAATGGCAACTTTCCATCATATATCCCTAAAATTGGACCCGGTGTCCTTATTTAACTTGTTTAAAGGTCCCTTGTCATGGCCATTTCTACTGATCATAATTCCATTGTTGAGGTATACTAGAATAGATTTATACTGTGCAATTTTCCAAACTCACATTGGTTTCTCATACAGCATCTCTGTAAAGTATGTGTATTCACCGGTATTCACTCTCTGTCCTAAACGGCTTGTTCGAGCTCCTGCCCCCCCTCCCTGTGAGCCCAGTGTGCTCTGATTGGTCGCGAAGCTGACAGGCTCGTTGCTGCTCGCACACACACAGACACACACACTGCTGCAGGAGCAGACAGGCTTGGCGATACAGCTAGAACAAGCGAAACTCATCCTGAGCACACACAAACACTCACAGCCGAAGTAAAAACATTAAGTGTGGCTTGATATTGAGTAAGAAAAAGGTTTATAACGATGTGAGCATGGGTCTGCGGAGAGCATTTCTCCGCGATCCCAACGTAGTAGTCCGAAAATCGTTTACCCATTTAAACAGTCGTGGTAGATACCTTGTTTGTTTTAAACATCATAAATACACAAACAATGAATACTTACAGGTTGTGTACCCGATTCTCCCGCTGGTCCAAACAAAGTAGGAACAGCATCGTTCTTCAGTGCCCTACGCTGTACATATCCGGCATGAATCGCTGAAAGGTTTTGGGAAGCTTTGTTTCGTGAAAAGCTGGCCATAGCTCTGGGCGTGGCTACTGGGTATCCGTAGTAGCGATACCCAGGAAGAAAACATTGGAAAATGAGAAATCTCCAACAAGGCGTTTTGGGGAGGTATTTTCTGTGTTATGGCGCGTTTCCACTACAGCGCGGAGCACGGTTTAAGAGGGCTGTGACGTCAGCGGCCCGTCTTTGGTTGCGTTTCCACTTGGCCTAGTACCGGCCGGCGGGTCCTAATTCACAGTTTTTGTGGCCTCATAAAATCGTGGGTCTAGGGCCAGAGACAACGAGGCTGAGTCGGGCTGAGTATGCTAAACTAGAGAGAGAATCACTGGCAAGGGGGCTACAACTACAACAAGATGGACATATTTGACCGTGATTTAATTGTAATACACGTTTCAAATGATGCTGAAGTAACAACATACTGATACCGGTTAGTAAAAACCATGAATTAATGCTTTGTCAAGTCTGCAGACAGACGGCCGTCCACACTCACAACGGCCTATACAGACATAAATAAAGCAGCGACTGTATTCACCATGACACAGGCAGTCTGTGGTTTGTACTTGTTTAACTTTTGTCTAGTTTCTGAACAGATATGAGGAGCTGTGAGCTCTGAGTGCTAACAGCTAACGGCTGTGTTGTTTTTCTGGGGTTCTCATTGAAGATGACGTCACGGCTCCGCCTACACTGCGTTTCTATAGATACTACCCCAGTTCCTAAACTGTAATGGAAATGCGCCATAAAGTGAGCCAGTCCTAACGAGGCCTAGCCATACCGAGCGAGGCCGAGCGAGGCCGTGTAGTGGAAATGCGCCATTAGAGTTTTACTCGCTACAGGGTGTACTTTCAGGGTTTTTGTCTCTGCAGACCGTTTACATGCATAAAAACCTTAATAACACACAAGGGGACGGGTAATAACCGGAAAAGCATGACATGGGACCTTTAAGTGATTGTTGTTTTCTTGTTTGTTAGTTTTGTGTGTGTATTTATCCTATTTTAATTAAAATGATCATCAAGTACATAACATTTGTATTTCTTTACATTTTTAAAACGAATATATAGCCATTGATATAGCACTTACTCATCACTGTACCCTGTATGCCAGGGCAGGTCTGCCTTCACTTACTGTTCTGAGGCTCAGTCATTGGTACATGTTCATCTATAAAGCCATGTTGGGTAAACTACCATCATATATCTGCTCTCTGATCTCACAGTAGCTATTGCCCAAGATCCCAGGATGTGTTTTTATCACATGTGCCAAGTGCTAGGACTGATTTAGGTACTAAAGCTTTTATGTGCGCAGCTCCTCTAGCTTGGAACACTCTGCAAAAAAATTGGAAACTGAGCATTTTGGTTCCCCTGCATCATTTTAAAGCTCGGCTGGATGAAATGATATTTGATACTCTTGGTACCTGTCATTATGAATAGGTTTGTAAATTGTACCCCTGTAAATTATGTTGTATGACGTCCTATTTTGTTTTCTGTTGTATTGTACATTGTATGTTTACATGTGTAACCAATGTGCTGCAGGTCTCCCTTGAAAAAGAGATTGTTGATCTCAATGGGATTTCTCCTGGATAAATAAAGGCTACACACAATTGATGATTCCTTAAGTTTTAAATAAATGTTGAGTTAATTCATTTAAACAATTTTTTTAAATAAAAACATCTTATGGGCATATGAGTATGGCATGATTCTTCTAGAAGTTGCCAGATGATATTAATACATTTTTTAGGGAAAATACAGGCCTCATATTTCTGTCTGTGTCTCAAAATAAAGCTGTCCTACATTATTCATCTTGATACTGATCTTGCAAAAACATTCAGCTAGGATTTAGTAAATAAATCATATATTTTCAGACTGTCAAAGCAAAACAAAATAATGACGTCTTCTGTTTTTCTTCTAGGACCCCGCTGTGCGAATGAGTGATTGATGCCAACTTCGCTTCTTCAGGTAAACCAGCATTCGTCACACACAGGCTAATGTTATGCAAGTATTTCATTTCAAATGTTAGAGTATTACCTTCCTAAAATGAGCATGTGGGATTAGGATTGAAGAATTGAATAAATACATAGGGGATTATAAAGCACATAAATCCTGACTCTATCATAACAACACGACATGGCCTTGGTAGCCAGTGTTATTGAACTTAATGAGATTTGTTCCTGTGTCTGACCCTCTTGTCCCTTTTGTTGTTCACCCTCCATGTAGGGCAGAATGGGTGTGTGTCCCCTGCTCCTGCTGCTCGCTCTCGCCCTCGGGGCCTCAGCCCAGGATCATGTCCCCATCACAAGTAAGAACCACTTATCTGAAATCCCTTTACTCACAATTGCAAGGATTGAATTAAGAAACTTCAATTTTCTTCTTTTTTCTTCATTATAATTTCCAGGTCCTCCAAGTATCACTGCCAAACCCACAGACCCCCCTGTCGCTCCCTCCCTCAACTTCACAGTGGCACACACACAAGCCCCCGCAGGCCCACCCACAACGCTCGCCCCCACAGTCATCCCGGTGACAACAACCACAGGCCCACCAGCTGGTGAGGAGGATGTACAACTGCCGGGTCCGAATGCCACCGCGCTGTTACCGATCCCCGCCCCCTCACCTCCGGCTCCAACCGATGCCCCCGTGGCACCACCGAGCACCGAGCCCCCCCCTCCTCCCATCCCGGCGGGGGGAGACAACGAGACCACGGCCTTCCCTCCAGAAACCCCAACTCCAGATTATGACGATGATGGTATATTCTATTTGGAGCCGGAGACCACCACAGAACCCGGGATGGGGTTCACCTCAAACACCAGCCCACATGGTGAGTGTATATTCAGGGCGCTCAGTTTATTTAATGTGAGAACATAATATACTCTTGACTTATCTGGAGGGAAAGTCCACCCTGAAGCAGTTTTATGGGACAGCTTACCCCAAAAGTGTAGTATGTCTGCCTTCTCTAGGTGACGTTTGCTTGTGGTGCATCAAAAACACATTTGAATGACTCAGAAATCATGACACATTAACTCAACATAATCCACAGACCTTGTTGTGAGCAGTTTCATGTAGGAACTATTTTCTTTCTACCGAACTACACCTCCAAATATATCGCTGCGAAGAAGGAAGCGTGCATCTGGATGAGAGACTCACCTGAGTTCACCTGAGCTAGCCGACGTAACAGCTCAGTTGACGAGAAGCTTGTTCATTTCTACATCTTCAATGTTACATCAAGCATCTTGTCCTTGACTAGATGTATGTAATACAGTTGGCATGTGCAGTTTGGCAAGGAGAAAATAGTTCCTGCATGAAACTACTCACAACAAGGTCTGTGGATCTTCTCGACTAACCAGGTCATGATTTCTTTAAAGAAACATTGCTTTAGAATTGTTTTTAAATGTCTACAACCAATATCTCCAACACTCTGCACACAAACCATTATAATCGAACACTACATGTAAGAGGACTAGAATCATGCAGCACCTTTCCCTAATCATAAAGGGACAAATCATATACACAGAGATAGACAGTAATCCACCAATTTAAGCCTCAATAGACCAGAACATCGTGAAGCGAAAAGACATGTCGAGTTGTGATCAGAGAGGCTGTGACTCATCTTTTTCTTGAATCGAAAAACACTCCCACTTACCATGGCGTGGGTACTGCAATCACACAGTTACCATTCTCACATTAAGTTCAGTCATTCAGAGTCATTCAGAGAAGTGAGGGGAATCACCAGGGCTGTTGTGTTGTACCCAGCTATTTCTGGATTGTGTCATGATAAGATTTATCTTGGTTTGCTGGAAAAACTACACAAACAAGCTTGTTGACTCTTCTTGCAGTGGTTGTTTTCATCCAAGTTGTTTATCACTGGCAGATCAGGTGTGTATAACCGCCTCAGGGAGGTTTTTTCCTCCTTTGAGCGAACTGTAAAGATGGCTGGGAGGTCATTTAATGTGTGCTTATGTGTCACTTCTAAATGTAGCTAGAAATCTCAACACATTTTGGATGCATTCAAGCATGTATTTAGAGCCGTCACATCATTCGCGACACATTGTACGTGTGAACAGGGCTTAACTAAAGCAGAAGAACTCTAAAGGTTAAGGGAAGCAACAAGGAAACAAGGCTTAGTGGGATATATAAACATCACAGATTGATGGTGGACTGTAGAACCACATAAGCGTGTCATCTAGCTGTGTGTTATTCATGCAGCCTGGAAGCAGCAGCAGCTACGAAGAGCAAGCATTTGAGCTTTCTGGTCAAGAGTCCACCGTTAATATTTTAGATAGTTGGACACGTTCCTGCTTTTAGACTCCTTTTGTAGCAGCGCTGGAAATATCCCGACGTGACATACCTGCATTTGAGCAGCCGTCCTCATAAATCAGAGATCCACCAAACCAAACAAGACACAAAAAGCCAAAAGCTGTTTTTTTAAAGTTAAAACCGTGTTGAAGAAGGATGTCTGTGTATAGTCCTGAAATGCTGCATTTGAGTTTAGGTTTTAACATTACAAGGCAAGGCATATTGCACCTTTCAATACAAGCGACTCAAAGTGCTTTACAAAAATAAAAGACATTAAGAGCATTAAGAAATTAGTTATTCAAACACTGAAGCAAAAGAACATTCTTGATGTTTCAAAAACTCCTTTCAGCAGCTTTATGTTGGGATACTGACCATCCCTGTGAGTGAAACATGACCCACAACTTTGCTTTTACATTCATTATTCATTACGTGATTGTAAAGAAATACGCAAATCACTACCCGATGTGACAGGTTGATTTGGAGAATGTTTTTCATCATCCAGTACAAAAACCTCAGGTATGTTCAGAGTTATCCCGCTGTTGGTTGTATATGATTTGAATTTAGGGATGTACTAATTAGTACTTTTTTTTTAAATTCAATAAATGATAATTACCTTGTGGCTAATACTGATAATATGATTAATAGTTTCACATTTGTGTTAAATAAAAATAAGACTATAACCTGTAGTTTATGCACACCTAATGGTAAGAACGGCTAAGATGTTTTTTAATATTCTATAGCTCCGACCTAACCAAACATAAGTGACGCATCATTTATTGTTGGCACAGCAAAACATGTCTGACTCGTCAACCTTCACAGATGAGCACTGTTAAAATTGTCCGTCCATTATTTATCATAATCACCTCATGTTTCCTAGGTGTTATTGTCTATTGTCCCCCATTGGCTGCCTTGTATGGAGAGCTGTTCTAGATGGCCCTAGATCCGTCAAGGCTGTGTCGATTCCACATGATACCCACCGCCTGTTGTTGTGCTCCTGCTCTGTTCAATGTACACATTGTCCGAGCGTGAACGCTGAAAAGTCCTGGGAATTCTGCCTGAAAATGCAACAAAACCGGGCGGCGTTCCAAACTACTTTCCCCCAGAAAGTGCACATGGAGCATGAAGTCGAACGATGCATTCTTTGCAGCACATTTTGTGTGTAGCGTTAAGAGCTTTCTTGAATTGTGAGTCCGCCCATGGAACAGCTGATTTAGTCATTGCATTGTCACCACCACGGTGCAGTTTTCTAGAAATATCTCTTCTTTTGTTGTGTGTCTTACAGGCCAGGCATCAGCACGCACACAGGGGCCAGCTTTTTGTGCACCAAACTCCTGTTGTTGTCCAGGCCAATCTCGTGTTAACTGCAGCAGTGAAAGGTCACCAGGAAGAATATAGGATTATCTTCAACTCACGCGCATGGTGGAAACCTATACCAATTGGTCAGCTATTGTAATCTACAGGAGGCTTCACAAAGAATAGATAACTCGGCCCATGTAATATTTACTTTGTAGTGTTAAGCCTGTGTGACCACGGTGCTTTTTCACCAGACAGCAGCACCACATGCTTTTCTGAAAGTGTGAAATATTTACACTCTGAATTATTCATACAGGATCCACCACAAACATCCTATATATTCTAGCATTTCTTTTACCGCTGCCCTGTGTCTGCTGTCATCTTTGGTATAACCATTTATGGAATCCGAGGGTCAACCCCCCCCCCCCCCCCCCCCCCCCCCCCGGTTAAACTGTGATTTATCTGTTCACTCAAAAAGGACTTCACGTGTCCATTTGTGTTTCTTTTTCTTCGGAAAGTCAATGAAATATTAACATGGATAACAGTTGTTGAAAGGCACGGAGCAGCTGGGGTTATAAGAGGCAAAGATCACTTTATAACCTCGCCTAGTTGTCTTTACTCGCTTTCTAACATGTAACCAAGTTGTAAATCTGTCTTGTGTACGACTTTTAAAATGTAACCCATTATAAAATCCCTTTAGCTATATGTTGCATTAAACATAAAGTCACACCAGCAGCTCTTTTTGCCTAGCTTAGCATAGCAACTGAGAATGTGCAACATGCTAGCTTTGCTCTGATCAAATTCTAACAAAATTCACAATACGGCACCTTTTTTAAGTTCACTAATGAACAAGTTGTCTCTTGTTCTGCTGTGGTTTCATACAGTATGCTGGACTCTTTCCTGGCTGCTTCAGTGACTTTTGCACATATTTATAAAAACAGTCAAATTGTAGTTAAATTACTCGTCTATGTTCTGTTTATATTTAATCATTTCTTGATAAAAATATCGTTTAGCTAATGCAACATCAACATTTAACCACTCGTGTGGAATATTGTGATAAGAGAATCATT